CAAAATCACAACTCGCAAGGGGTGTTCCGAAAAAGGTTTTGTAAGAACTCAGATCCCGAAATCACAGATCGCAAGGGGTGTCCCCCTAAGGTTTTGTGAAAACTCAGAACCGAAAAGCACAGATCGCAAGTGGTGTCCCCCTAAAGGTTGTTATAACAAATAAGTTCCAAAATCACAAATCGCAAGGGGTGTCCCCTGAAGGCTTTTGCGCTAAAGTAGATCCCGAAATACCAAATCGCAAGGGATGTCTCCCTAAAGGCTTTCGCGCAAGCTAGATCCCAACATGACGAATCGCAAGGAATGTCCCCTTATGTTTTGTAAAAACGCCGATCCCAAAATCACAGATCGTAAGGGGTGTCCCCCTAAGGTTTTGTGAAAACTCAGATCCGCAAAACACAGATCGCAAGGGGTGTCCCCCTGAAGGTTTTTATATCAAATAAGTTCCAAAATCACAAATCGCAAGGGGTGTCCCCCTAAATGTGTTTGTAACAAATATAAGTATCAAAATCACAAATCGCAAGGGGTGTCCACCTAAGGTCTTGTAAGAACTCAGATCCCAAAATCACAGATCGCAAGGGGTGTCCCCTTCAGGTCTTGTGAAAACTCAGATCCGAAAACCACAGATCGCAAGGGGTGTCCCCCTAATCCCTGCGAGCCGCGACCGAGCAGAAAGCCTGTAAATACCGCGTTAAAACAACGGCCAGGGATCCCACACATCTGCGGGCAAAATCTGGCGGAAGTGATGCACCACCGAGCAAAATGCCTGTAAATACCGCATTAAACAAAGGGCCAGGGATTTGACACATCTGTTGTCAAAATCTGGCGGAAGTGAGCAGTCGGTACTTCCGCCAGATTTTGCCAACAGATGTGCGAAATCCCTGGCCCTTTGTTTAATGCGGTATTTACAGGCTGTTTGCTCGGTGGCGGATCACTTCCGCCAGATTTTGCCCGCAGATGTGTGGGATCCCTAGCCCTTGAAGTGGTGGGTGAGAGGGTGGTGGGAGGGTGTTTGGGAGGTAGGGTGGGCAGGAGGTGGAGGGAGTGTGAAGTGGGAGGAAGGGTGGGTGGGGGGGGTTGGGACGATGGGTGGGCGCTGAGGGTCGGTCCCCGGCCAGGATTTAAATTATTTAAATTATTTAAATTATTTAAATTATTTAAATGGGGCCGGGAATTAAATAATTTAAATAATTTAAATAATTTAAATAATTTAAATAATTTAAATAATTTAAATCCTGAAGGGGAGGGGTCCCCGGGGGTCCAGGGCCGAGGAATTAAATAATTTAAATAATTTAAATCCGGAGCCCTTCCCCAGGATTTAAATTATTTAAATTATTTAAATCCTGGGGCCCGGGGCCCCCGGGAACCCCCCCGGCCAGGATTTAAATTATTTAAATTATTTAAATTATTTAAATTATTTAAATGGGGCCGGGAATTAAATAATTTAAATAATTTAAATAATTTAAATAATTTAAATCCTGAAGGGGAGGGGTCCCCGGGGGTCCAGGGCCCCGGGAATTAAATAATTTAAATAATTTAAATCCGGAGCCCTTCCCCAGGATTTAAATTATTTAAATTATTTAAATCCTGGGGCCCGGGGCCCCCGGGAACCCCCCCGGCCAGGATTTAAATTATTTAAATTATTTAAATTATTTAAATGGGGCCGGGAATTAAATAATTTAAATAATTTAAATAATTTATAATTTAAATCCTGAAGGGGAGGGGTCCCCGGGGGTCCAGGGCCCCGGGAATTAAATAATTTAAATAATTTAAATCCGGAGCCCTTCCCCAGGATTTAAATTATTTAAATTATTTAAATCCTGGGGCCCGGGGCCCCCGGGAACCCCCCCGGCCAGGATTTAAATTATTTAAATTATTTAAATGGGGCCGGGAATTAAATAATTTAAATAATTTAAATAATTTAAATAATTTAAATCCTGAAGGGGAGGGGTCCCCGGGGGTCCAGGGCCCCGGGAATTAAATAATTTAAATAATTTAAATCCGGAGCCCTTCCCCAGGATTTAAATTATTTAAATTATTTAAATCCTGGGGCCCGGGGCCCCCGGGAACCCCCCCGGCCAGGATTTAAATTATTTAAATTATTTAAATTATTTAAATAAATTAAATTAAATGGGGCCGGGAATTAAATAATTTAAATAATTTAAATAATTTAAATCCTGAAGGGGAGGGGTCCCCGGGGGTCCAGGGCCCCGGGAATTAAATAATTTAAATAATTTAAATCCGGAGCCCTTCCCCAGGATTTAAATTATTTAAATTATTTAAATCCTGGGGCCCGGGGCCCCCGGGAACCCCCCCGGCCAGGATTTAAATTATTTAAATTATTTAAATTATTTAAATGGGGCCGGGAATTAAATAATTTAAATAATTTAAATAATTTAAATCCTGAAGGGGAGGGGTCCCCGGGGGTCCAGGGCCCCGGGAATTAAATAATTTAAATAATTTAAATCCGGAGCCCTTCCCCAGGATTTAAATTATTTAAATTATTTAAATCCTGGGGCCCGGGGCCCCCGGGAACCCCCCCGGCCAGGATTTAAATTATTTAAATTATTTAAATTATTTAAATGGGGCCGGGAATTAAATAATTTAAAATTTAAATAATTTAAATAATTTAAATCCTGAAGGGGAGGGGTCCCCGGGGGTCCAGGGCCCCGGGAATTAAATAATTTAAATAATTTAAATCCGGAGCCCTTCCCCAGGATTTAAATTATTTAAATTATTTAAATCCTGGGGCCCGGGGCCCCCGGGAACCCCCCCGGCCAGGATTTAAATTATTTAAATTATTTAAATTATTTAAATGGGGCCGGGAATTAAATAATTTAAATAATTTAAATAATTTAAATAATTTAAATCCTGAAGGGGAGGGGTCCCCGGGGGTCCAGGGCCCCGGGAATTAAATAATTTAAATAATTTAAATCCGGAGCCCTTCCCCAGGATTTAAATTATTTAAATTATTTAAATCCTGGGGCCCGGGGCCCCCGGGAACCCCCCCGGCCAGGATTTAAATTATTTAAATTATTTAATTCCCGGCCTTGTCCCCGCCCGGGACCCCCAACCGGGTTTATTTGGAAGCTGGCTCTTGTTTATATATAAGGGATTTAGGTCACTGTTTCCCTATCTAGAGTGCAAGCACCAGCTTGCAAATAAACCCGGTTTAAGCCGCACACGGGGGGGGGGGGGGGCATCGTGGGGATCTTGATGTTTGTTTGGTGCATAGGCTGCAAGTGGTGATGGTGGTGCAAGTGGCGGAAATAGTATTTGTAGCAGTAGTGGTCGTTGTTGTTGTAGTAGTTATAGTGGTAGTAGTAGTTGTTGTTGTCGTCGTGGTGGTGGCGATGGTGGTAGGAGTGGTGGTAGTAGTGTATGTTGGAATTTCCAGCGGCAGAAGAAGCAGCAATAGTGGCAGTAATCGTCGTCGTTTTCGTCGCCGCATGGTCAGCACACAATATCATCCTGGTTGCGGCGGTTGTTGTGGCGGCGGCACTGACCGCGGTGGTGGTGGTGGCGTGGTGCTGGTACTGCTGGTACTGCTGGTACTGTTGGTGCTGCCGGTACTGCTGGTGCTGCTGGTGCTCGCACTGCTGGGGCTGGTGGTTGTGGTGTTGTCTTTGCCTCAGCGGTTTTCGTGCTTTGCCTGCTTTGCCTTCTGCGCAACTCCACCGGAAGATTTTCTGTTTGTGCAACGAAAACGCCCGTTTCTGGGGTCTCACAGACACGACTGCAGCTCCTTCGTCGTCAAAGGCTCATGGTCCTAAACCGTTTCTGACTTTGATGAGTCCATGTCGAAAGACTTGTGTCCTTGCATCCAAAGCACCGTCTCCAGGACCATATGTGGGCAGGTAAGAAGATCCCCTGCGATCGTCACTGGGAGGAAGTTAGCAGGGGGCTTGCGCTAAACGCTTGCTGGCCTCCCAAGGTTGCAGGTTACAGAAGGGGCAGATTGTAGCCTGACAGCTATCTCTGGGCCGAGGCTCTCAGCTTGAAGTCAGTTTGAGGCTTGAGTTTATGTTTTTTTACAGATCTGTTTTGTAGCTTCACTGGTGACACAGCCTCGCATGTGCACCCACGACACCGTGAAGATGGCAGGTTGCTGACGCACAATGTCGTGACGAATCTTTATATTACATCTGACGATTCTACTGCATCATGGCTTCAAGCCATGCTGTAATATATATCTATGTAAATAACTATAGAACTATATGTATATATACATGTGTGTATATCACTTACGTGTATGAACTCATATGTATATTATGATTATGTATAATACATATGCATAATATGTCTATACCTGTCTCCCTGCCTCATGCACACACAAACGCGGTTCATAGTATAAGGAGAGATCGTCGTGGAGTGCATCTCCAGATGGTTCGGCAGCATAGCAAACTTCGAGCAGACGGCCTCCTCGGCTGCATGCGACTGGCACAGTCACAGACAAACCATGTTTGTCCTGCACCCAGCCTAGTGTCAACAAGTCCAAAGCTAAGCTTAACTGCATCCGCTATTTCATGCTCAGGGATTGGCCTTCACCCTAGACCCCAAGCCGCCTAAGGCCCAAGGTGCTTGGGCCTATGGGGTGCGCGGGGGTCCATGTTTTGATTGCAGGGTAGTCGGGTGCGGGCAAGCCCAAACCCAATGCCTCCACATGATTCGTATGGCTTTCAAGTTTGAGGGTCGAGCGCTTCAAGGCAGCAAGGCCAGCAATAATTGTTGGAATCTGTATGGCAATCGTATAAGCTCTCGAAGCGGAACGATTACTTACAGCGTTCGAGGGTGTTGTCTCTTCTTCGAAACCAACCCCGACTTCACGACAGACTCGACCGCCTGATTCATAATGCTCTAACGTGTTTTGGAGATGATGCAGGCTTCGGAGTTTAATTAGGAGGCTTAGGTTTTAAATGCTCGGGTTTAGGACGATGCTCAGTAAGATACCTCCGTCATCTTGTAGATCTTTGTAGTGTTGGAGGAGGCAGCTCCTTTGCGCAATGAGACTCAAAGGTTCAGAAGACCGTCCTCTCCGCCCTGTGGCACCAGCTTGGCAATCATCCGTTCCCGTACTTGTGGCTCCTGGGCATCGTGTGGTTTAGGGATGTAGGGTTTGCAGATTTAGGGGGATTGTAGGATCTAGTAATCTAGCAAGTTTAAGGGTTTAGGGATGGGCCGAGGACTGCTGCAGCAGGCTTTAGGACTTTTAAAAACTTGGCATCAACAATCTCTTGAACCCTGCCCTGGGGCTATCCTGAGCCGCAAGCTTGCGCAGCCCTCGAAACCCGAATCAGAAAGCCATAAGCTGTCTGATCTGGACCAGGGATCCTCCGGTTCCTGTCAAAATTCAGACTGCTTTTCAAAAGCTTATTCGCGGAGGGTTTAAGGGCTGCTCTTGTTTTTTCTCCGGGTGGGCCCTTCGAAGATTCGAGATGCCAGCCCGAAGCTCTGAACCTCGCGGTTGAGGTTCTAGGAGGCATGCATGAAAGCTGAGAAGCATGAGACTTTCAACAGTTTGTTCGGAGCTCCTGGTTTCGTGGTTTGCGCTCAGGGTTCAACTTTTCAGGGCTGAGGGTTTCAACCTGAAGGTGCCATTGTCGCTTTGTACATAGTGACGATTGATGAATGGCCCCCGAAATTTCCTGAAGCAACAAGTTGCTCCTTGAGACACATAGAAGTATCTTGCGGTTCAGCCCTGGTTGACTACCTTGAAGAAGCTTGTACTTGCTAGAGTGAACGTTGAGCCACGTGCATATTGCCGCTCAAAGGCTGATTGGTGCCTCGGTGCCGCTTGTGTGGGGCCAGGCGACGGCTTCGAAAGCTATTCTAGAGATCGTTTGCAGTTGGCGTCCTTCTTCTTGTTGTTGCGAGTTCAGCGGGCCATCGTCTAAGTTATTGACAGTATACACTTCAAAGGGAAGCCGAGCTTCGCACATCTACGCTTTGTGCTTTCGGCGCGATTCTTGGATCCCAGCAGTCCCAGCACATGCGTGATGCTTACAGTAAACCCCAGAAAGTTGGAAACCGGATTAAGGCCAAATAGTGCTGGGATTCCCTATACATTACTCTTAAGGATTGAGGCTATGGGGTTTCCAACTTTTGGGCTTCTACTGCAGGCGGTTCCAGCACATACACTCGTTACGCCGGGTACTACTACTACTACTACTACTACTACGACGGCTACCACCACGACGACGCCTACTACTACCACTGCTGCCACTACCAGGTACCACTACCGGCACCACTGTCAACACCACTACGACTGCTGCTACTACTACTACTACTGCGACTAGAACAATTACGACTACAACTACAACAACAACTACTACTACTACTACTACGACTACGACTACTACTACTACTACTACTACTACTACTACTACTACTACTGCTAGCGACAACTACAACAAAACAACTACGTCTACACCCACATCTTCTATTACTAGTAGTAGTAGTAGTAGTAGTAGTAGTAGTAGTAGTAGTAGTAGTAGTAGTAGTTGTCGTAGTAGTAGTAGTAGTAGTAGTAGTAGTAGTAGTACTACCACTACCACTACCACTACCACTACCACTACCACTACCACTACCACTACCACTACCACTACCACTACTACAACTACTACTTCTTCTACTACTACTACTTCTACTACTACTACGACTACTACTGCTACTACAACTACTACTGCTACTACTACTACTACTACTTCCACTACTTCTACTACTTCTACTACTGGTACTACTACTACCACTACTACTACTACTACTACTACTACTACTACTACTACTACTACTACTACTACAGCTACTACTAGTACTACTACTGCTACTGCTGCTACTGCTACTGCTAGTGCTATTGCTATTGCTATTGCCATTGCCATTGCTACTGCTACTACTACAAATACTTTTGCTAGTTCTACGACTACGACGACGACGACGACTACTACTACCACTACCACGCCCACTACCACTCCCACTACTGTTGCTGCTGCTGCTACTGCCACTGCCACTGCCAGTGCTGCTGCCACTGCGACTGCTGCTGCTACTGCTACTGCTACTGCTACTGTGCTGCCGCCACCACCACCACCACCACCACTACTTCCCGTGACGACAACCACTACTAGTACTACTACTACCTGCTGCTGCTGCTGCTTCTGATTCTGCTTCTACTAGTACTGCTGTTGCTGTTACTACTACTACTACTACTACTCCTACTACTACTACTACTACTACTACTACTACTACTACTACTACTACTACTACTGGCCACCCCCCCCTGCCAACTACACTTGTTCCATCCGGGCTGGGCAGCGGTAGCTGCTAGGCACCTTAATTGCGACGATTGCAGAAGATGCACGGGCTCAGGCTCCCTATCTCTGACAGCTGCAGAAGTTGCAGAGGCTCAGTTTCCTTAACCGTCACAGCCGGTGAAGTTGCAGGGGCTCAGGCCCCAAAACTGCGACAGCAGCTGGAGTTGCAAGCTCGACGGGGCAGAAACTGCTAAACCGCAGGTGGTCGGATAGTACGAAAACGCTTTAAATACCGTGCAAAACCCAGGTGCTGCCAAGAAGGGTTTAACATTTCGAAACCTGAAGCGCAACATCTTCTAAACATCAAAAACAAAGATGCCAGCTGTACGTGGGAGGGGCTCGCCAACACCCCTACCGCCCAACCTCGGCGTAGGAGGGTCTTGAAGTGGTGTGTGTGGTGTGTGCGCGCTTGAGTGTGGAAATATTGTTCAGGGTGTCCGCAAAACGGTGTCGTGATCATCCCCGAAGAAGCTTTCCCCCACCCAAGTTCGAGTTTGTTTCGCAAACAGTTCGAAACAGCAAAGTTTAACACGCATAGTCGAGAAGTAGGGGCTCAGAATATGTAACAAAGTCTGACATCACGAAAGTACCGTAAATACCGAGTTAACGGCTCTTCTGGTGATACTGCTGGGTGTGTTCGCGTAACACTGTCGTCATCATCCCCCCCCACCCCCCCACCCACCCCCAGAAGCAAGTCAAAATCAAGAGCCCGAGTTTGCAAACTCGACAAGTCGATTTTTAGGCTTCTTAGGATGATCGCACATAACGAAAGTGCCGTAAATACCGAGTAAAATGGATGTTGTCTCAACATGGTTAAGAGCAAGTGTAGTTGGTAGGGGGGGTGGGTGCCTACTACCACTACTACTACTACTACTAGTACTCCTCCTCCTCCTCCTCCTCCTCCTACTACTACTACTACTACTACCTCCACTACTCTACTACTACTACTGCTGCTGCTGCTGCTACTACTACTACTACTACTACTACTACTACTACTACTACTATAATCTGCTTTGCTATTACCACTACTGCCGGTGCTACTACTGCTGCTGCTGCTACTGCCACTGTCACTGCCACTGCTTGTCCTGCTCTGCTGCTGTGGCTGCTTCTTCTCACACTTCCCTTTTCTCTTGCTGCTGAAGCTCCGGCAACTGCTATGACAACACTGTTCTGTTTTGGAGCTCTTGGGGCTGTCGCTCAAAAGATGCATCTGCCCAGCCTTTGTCAGTGGTGGCTTTTTGCATTTTATTGTTTGTTTTGGGGGGGCTCAGGCTTCGTGCAAATTTGAATGGCTCTTGACACACTATGTATTTGATAGACATCATGTATTGTATATAGATGCGCCCGCATGTCCGATCGTGAGGCCCCAAACGGCTCAGGTAGCCATAGACATTTGTTGTCAAAAGCTGTGCTTTTCTGAATCCTGTGGTTCGCCTGGGCGACAGGGCTCACTGGTTCCGGTCTATAAGTCTATAATCTTAACGGATTTGGTGTTTGAGGTGTGATCTCTAATCCTAGCGCAACCCTGAGATGGACGCTGTTGCATCGCAGCTGCGGAGTGGAGACCCGCCGCCTAGCTGCAGCTTTGTTCTGCCCTCCATGCTAAGTCGCAGGGGTGGGTGGCACGTTCAGCTAGTCAGCCATAGTCAGCCGGCTCTTCTCCTTCGGAACAGGTGCTGTGCCCAGTGTATTCGCTTGGCTGTCAAGAGATACGCTGCGCACTAAGGTCAGGCACAGTAGGGCATAGCTCAACTTTGCAATCATGTCCGTAGTCACTTAGTCTGTGTCGTACAGTGTTGTCGCCAACACCCCGACAACGTGCAGTTGCAGAGGCCTCGGCTTTGATTACCTGACACGTTATCTCCGTTATCTCCAGCCTGCATTCCAGCGGTCTAGCGCGAAGCGCCTCACCGACGGCTTCGAAGGGATTACGGTGAAGCAAAACATCCTCCACTACCCGGTCCAGCAAGATCTCAGATCAAGCATTGCGGGCCCCAGGGAAATGGCGGTCGTGTGGACTCTCAATGCCATTATGTGGTGGCTGGCAGCAGCGAGCCCAGTTATCATCTTTGATCATAGACTCTGTGGCATGTATCTCGGGCATGGGTCCGATCATGCACTCAAGCAGGCCTCGTCGAGCTTTCCTGACTTTGGGTCGCGATATGCACAGGTGTTAAAACTATAGGTATGCTGGACTCCACACGCCGGTAAGCCCCAGGCCCTACGACAATCCTAAAATATGGAAGTTGTCAGTGCGAATGCATTCGGTCTTGCTGGGAGTCGGCGGGGCTTTCGACTTCAATGATTCCCTGATCAGACGTGCGTATCGCTAGGAATTAATGCAACGTGGTTTGAGCGTTTGTTTTGGCCATGCCTGTTCAGCTACCCTTGATCGACAGCTTGTACAATCCTATCTCTTGCTGTCTCCTGGCATGTAATTTTGCTTTCCTCAGTACACCCTGCCTTGTGTGTGCTCTCAGCACATTCTCACGAAAACCCTGCACTGCCTTGTGTTTATGTTCCCACGAGCCTCGAGCCTAGGACTCGACGTGTCGGACCGGGATCCACTGATAATGGGCAATAACTGAGGCAGCTAGAATCAGAGTGGTCGTAATGGTGTCGTTCTCGGACAGCTTAAACTGCGATAAATCGGATTGTGTTCACAAGACTCCGAGTACCACCCTGTAATTACGCAGCCTCAAACCACACGAGGCTTTCCCGGCTTCTTTCGTCATTTGGGCCAGCCTAACGTGGCGCTTGAGGGCGCGGCCCACCTCCCGCTGCGCGGACGTGCGCTGGTCTGATTGCGATGGTGGAAGGTTTCGGTTTAGGTGCAGGGCTTCGAAGATGTGCAGGCGCCCAACTCTTTGCCGTCGATATTGTCTCTTTTGGAAGCTCTCATTGCTGCCGTTGTGAGTGTAATTCGTCGAGCAGTGCAGCCGGCTGCAGCCGGACTCATATTTGTGCTTCTGGCGTTCTCAGGAACTGGCTCGTTTACGGTGTTTGCAGTTTGCAGAGCTTCACATTCTACTGATTGCAACGGTGAGGTCGCTTATGATGACATGCCAGGGACATAGATGGCCATGCTGCTAGCCTCGACGATGACAGTGACATGATGATAACTTCCTCGGTCCTGGTGATGATGGTCACAGACAGTGAAGACGACAATGGAGATGCGGATGATGGCAATGATGGAACTATGACGGTTACTAAGTAAGAAACGTACGCTGCCCCCGGATGGATATCTAGCGGCACTGATCGTGACGAATTGCCCGACAACAGCTTGAGCATCCGAGACAGATCGGCATTCCCCAAAACGACGAGGCTACTAGTAGCAGATGTGAGAGCAGGCCTGAGTTTGCACCGAGGTGCTCAGAAACGTGATCGGAATGTTGGCATTGTTCGCGCTTCGCGGTTTCACATACTTTGGATCCATGCTGCAATACAGGCCGCAATACTCTGAGAAGCTTCGTTTTGTGGCTGCCTTGTCCTCAGAGAACAGAAATCACACCATCCTGAAGTACTTGCACAGTGCGGGTTATTTCAGGGTACAGGACTTGGAAATGAGATTTGGGGCATAAGAGATCCAAACTTCTTTAGCAGTGCCTGTAGGTTGTGCTGCGCCTGCGGCCATCCCAACCACGTTACGGGGTTGAGAAGTGGTGATCCCCACGAAATCCTGCTCTTAAGAGGCTTCATAAGTGAACCAGTAACCCTATGTAGCTGAGTAGGTAACCTTTAACCTTTTGGGGTACATACAGTCCCGCCATAGTTAAAAGGTGAACTGAAGTCTCAGTCGAGTGGAAGCTTCAACCCGAGATACCGGCCCCTAGGACTTTCGAAGATGTAAACCAGAGCTCTGGGATTGCCAGGGTTTGGGGTTTAGTTTAGGGTTTAGGGTATCAATAATAACGGCTGCAGGGTTGGCGATTTTGGGCTTAGGGTTTGGGATGGGTTTGGGGGCTATGGGAATGCAGAGACCTGCTGCTGAGGGAGGGGGCTTTATTGGTCAGGGTTGCTTGGAATTGCTACGTTACTAAATGCCAGACTATTAAGCCGGAGGCAACCGCTGAACAGCTAGACCTTTCTGAAATGCATGACAGAAAGCGATATCCCCAGAAATTGCTTAGATGAGGGGTTTTCAGAAGGAAAGCTATGCAGTTACAAGTCTGGTAGACCATTATGTGTGCTCGAAACTGAAACCCCGAATGAAGCCCTGCTTGCTGAGATGTGGCTCTCTAGACCTCTCCAGATTCACCCCATCGCAGTTGCCATCCCAGGTTCTTTTGCATAGTATGGCTTGCTCAGAGGATGTGGCTCAGCATCTTCAAGGAGGACCGTGTGCAGAGGATCATGCGAACCGAGAGCCTCGAACCCTTTTGAGCTTCAACCTGACGTGTGTGCTGTGCTTGTCGTGAGCCCCTTGGATTGTTTAAGGTTTGCATCAAGTGTCAAATCCAAGGGTTGTAGTGGGGAGAATCCTCCCTAAGTGCGGACTTATCCAGGCTTGATTGCTTCGCTACGGAGTGCAGAGTCTGTAGGCATTTGCAATAATGACCACCAGATGGATATCGAGAGCATGCTGAAACATTTGCAACCCCCGGTAAGATTCTCGTTTGGCGTGAGCATTCCGGAAGCCGAAGGACGATGTAGCTGCCTACGCCAGCTTCCTCAGCATCATGACGATTGCGACGTGTTTTGTTCCCCGGCTTGTAGTTGGGTGGTTAGCAATGCTTCAGTGATCTGATTCGCGCTGAGGAAGACATGCCAGGAAGCTATCTCTACGGAAGTAGCAAAAGCAAAAAGATTAACCAGAGCAAGAGCACGAAATGCCCGTGATCAGCAAATCCAAGCAGCAAATGCAACAGCAGAAACAACAGCAGCAACAAGAACAATAACTGCTATGACAACGACGACTACTGCTTCAACTATTGCCGCTGCTGGTACTACTATTACTACGTACTACTGCGGCTTCTGCTTCTACTGCTGCTTCCTCCTCCTACTACCACCACTACTACTACCACCACCACCACCACGACTACTACTACTACTACTACTACTACTACTACTACTACTACTACTACTACTACGACTACTCTTACTACTACTACTACTACTACTACCACCACCAGCAGCACCACCACCACTACTACTATGTGTTCATAATGCGAGTGCTTCCAGTGCTAGTGCTGCAGCTATCTGATCACTACTACTCCTACCGACCTTTGCCGCCGTTGCTTACTACTACTAGTATGAGTACTCGTACTAGGCTACACCTTGTACTTGCACTGGCATTGCCACTGGCAATGGCACTAGTACTAGTATTAGAAGTACTATTACGATTTCTACTTCTGCTGCTACTAGCCATCAAACAAAATCATTCCTGCAGCCCTCAACTCCTGAACCCTCCATCCCTTCTGGTGTAAACCCAGTTTGCCCCAGCCACCTTGCTAGACTTTAAACCCTGTAAATCCTGAGCTTGGCATTGAACCCTCATACCCTGCTTTCTCTTAAACCTGACAAGTCCTGCGAGTAATGAAATTCCAACCCTCATACCCGAACAAATCCCACAAACCCCTCGAGCCCTGATCTCTCAAATGCTCTCGAGCCTCCCCTTCCAGGTCTGGCGCGCCTGGCAGCCGCCCTCTGCCTTTAGGCCGCAAGAGGACCTTCAAGAGGCCGAGCTCTCCCCAAGGGAAGGCCACGGCTGGACTTTGTCGCTGTAAGGAGCCGAGGGTTGCTGCGAACTTCTGGTTCCAGTGAGTTACTGCTGCCGCACAGAAACTTTTCGAAACGTAGAGCCAGTCTTCCAAAATACCATCGAACATATTTCCCAAGGTTTAAAACTCCACCGTGAAGGGCTGGAGATTTAGGGTGTGTGTTTTGGATTTGATGTGGTGCTCGAACACACGCATGTACAATGTGCATAACTTTTAAGTTAAGCTGGAAAATGGGTCTGGTCTCTCCCTCTCTCTCTCTCTCTCTCTGTCTTTCTCTGTATATCTCTATATATATATATAAATAAATAAATATAAATATATATATATATATATATGTATACACATCATTCTGTTTATGTAAGTATACACATAGGTACACCAATGTTTGTACGTTTGTGTATGTATTCACATAGGACTTGATGTGTTTGTGTGCATGCGCATGTAAGCAAGCACGGATGGATGGATGGATGGATGGATGGATGGATGGATGGATGGAAAGATGTGTGGATGTGTGGATGTATGTATGTATGTATGTATGCATGTGTCTGTGTATGCATGTGTTTGTAAGCATGAAAGTATGCATGGATGCACGCATGCATGCGTGCATGCATGGATGCATGTACTCGGACGCGCGCATGTATGTATATGTAGGCGTGGCCGTAGGCATAAACGTATGTATGTGCATACGTATGTAGGTAGGTAGTATGTACGCATGTAAGTATTTATGTACTCACACGTGTCATGTGTCTATACACACAGTCATATAAATCTCCATCTCTATGAATATGACACAGAATTAACCATGTTCACAGATGCATACTCCAGTCTTCGTATGCGAATAGAATATACTCGGCGAAAAGATTGGTACCTGACCTACATGCGTAGACGCCTATTGAGCATACGCATGGGGAACTTGGATCTCGGAGTGGTCTCATCTTGCATGTTGTGGGTTGTTTGGCCGAGATGTAGATTATTAAGCAAACGTGGAATCCCGCGGAACACATCAAATCCCGAGGATGTTGAATCCGCTGATTTTTGTCCAAGAGTCATGTGATCTGCTGTTTATGTGTTTAACATAAGGTGTCCAAACTGTCCACCACTCTTCTTGTAATACGGCCGAGGTTTTCTGCATAAGCACAGCGATCCCGCACAATTTTCTGGTAGTGGTGGTTTAGCGGTATCCGAACGCGGGTCTTGTCTTGTATTCTGTATGTGTGAACACAAGGGCGAATTCGTAGCTGCATCTGCATGCACATGAAGGTATGTATGCTTGTTTTCCCTGGCTGGCAGATCTGCCACAGCATAGAGTGTGTCTGTCCCCCAGTAGTTCTCGGCAGTACGCATGCAAAAACAAGGCCCAAGGCTGAACGTGTTAGGAGATTCACTAAAGTTTCCTTGACACTTGCACTCGATCTCCGGTTGCCACAATCATCAAATCTCAGCTCCTACAATCTTCTGCATGCTTAATTATATATGTAATTTGAGAGAATTGTGCTAGAAGAATCCAGTCCCCAAGCTCTGAAACCAAGATACAGCCAACATTGCAAGCAAAGCCTCATGACCACCACAGCCCTGAGCCGTAAACCCCAAACCGAAGCTCCTACACCCTAAACCCAACCCCATATGCTTCCACCAGGAGCGCGGCCTCCTGGTCTGACTGGTCCTTGACGATTTCATGTCTAGCATCAGGGTTTCCAGTTTTTGTGGCCGGTGCCGCCGCGACGGTGTAGTCCCGCAGATACCCCTGGGACAGAGCTGCATAAAGACCGGCGGTGGGCTGTGATGAGACGAAGTATTTTGGTTCCAGTTCCATTCAGAAGATAAGTAAGAGTAAGGCTAAAGTCTGGTTTATGGCTCATCCTTCCTGAGCCCTGAAAATCCACCAACGGTGTCGTGGGTTCCATAATGTGGACATCGTCGCTGCAGGGTCCTGTTGTTTTGAGAAGCCCTCACTTAACGAGTTTGCTAAACCTACTATTGCGGTGATCATGTAACGAGATTCTCATGGTAATGTGTGGGAATGGCTGCGTTCGTTTGCTTTTGTCGATTCCTAGCTCGACTCATCCCATGCGATCGGATGTGTT